ATGAATATGGATTTTCATTTGGTTTTATATGTGATAGGAACTATTGTTACGTCTTATGTTGCACTGGGGACACATTTAGCCGGTGCACAGCAACAAGAAGATGCACGAAGCAGCAGCGGTCAGAGGGTACTTCTCAAGTCTCTTAATTGCATCCCCGTTTCCCTCACTTGCGTCCTTTCCTTGCGTCTTAGTCCCTCCCACCAGGGATGCATGGAGGAAACCATGCCAGGAGAGAGGAACGAGGAAATATGTTTTAAGAGACACGAGACGTCCTTTCCTCAGTTGCGTCACGTGGTCTGTTACTGATGACGGCGGATCAGCTGATCACAGCTGGATCAGCTGTCAGTCGGCTTTAGCAGCTGGAGAGACTTTTGATAAGTTTGTGTGTGTTCACATGATCACTGTACTTAATAATAGTAACTAATAATACTAAAAACTAATAAAGACACACAGTAATCACCACTATAGAGGTGTTTCTCTCTGTAGTCTGTTAACAAACGGTGTCCTGTGTTCTGTTTATAAACGCAGGATCGATTTCTACCAGGCGAATGCGATCGTCTTATTTATGAATTATTTGCGTCTGTACGTTTTGAAATTGTACAGACGCATTATTAAATAACCCAGAATATGATTATTGCTTCTCTTAAATGATAAAACTCATCAAACACTCAGGAATGATGTAAAAAGTGTTTCGTCTCTCCAGCTCTCTCTGACTTTAATTGTTTCCATAATAAAAGTTATTGAGGGAAATATCAGATCATGAAAACACAAATCTTTCTAATAAATGAAGAAAGTTGTTTGTGGTCCTTTTGTTGTTCAGACTACAATGAACATTTATTTAAACCAGATGTTGAATCAGAAACCTAATCAAATATAAACTAGAGTTTATTCTCTGATCCGTCTTCACTCTGGTGTTAAACTCCAGTCAGTCAGTCCGATCGGCTGCAGCGTCCAATCACATGACTGATGAACAATGAGGGGGCGTGTTGGCCATTAAAAGACTTCCCGGAAGTCTGTTCTCGTGGGTCCTCGCTCATGGATCCTCCGAGGTCCCTCCTCCATCCTCGCTCCTCCGAGCTACATTAGAGCTTTGGGACGGCCGTCAATATGGCGCCGCAGAAACAACTTCCGGTTCAAGCGAGGATCGAGGAGCGAGGAAACGACACTTAAGACTTGAGAAGTACCCTATATACTCCACACAAAGTGTTTAAGTTTAAGTGTTTAAGTGATCTACTTTGAAGGTTCATGTGTTTTCAAGTGGACTCATTTTCCCTCTCGTTGTTGACAGACGAATAAATCCGTCAGTAACAAGAACTACGGAGTCGTGTGTTTCCTGGAGGGAGTAATAGGAGAGTTACTACTCAGTTCATTTGTCTATGGTGTCGTCTTCATGATATGGGTAATATTGTTCCCTCTGATGTGAATAATATGCTCTTGAGTGTGTGGCGGAATGCGTGCTTTAGCTGAATTGATTTTGACTTTATGCATTGTTCGTTAATGCCGCCGCATCCCGTCATGCTGGTATTCATGTATCTGCACTCATAGTGTATTTGTAGGTGGTGGACTTCATTTTTACGAGTGCAGGCCCAGGTATAACATGCACGGCCCGCCACTGCTGTATATATAATTATTTACTTATAACTATATATCCATTTCTCAGACTTCATGCTTCATGTCCCTCACTCCCTAACTGTCCGTGCTGGATCTGTCCCCGTTGTTTTAAAAGCTAAATAAGTTATCAGCATGACGTCATCCAGCTAGCCAAACCTGTCTGGTGTAGCTACAGCTAGTACAGAAGCTTCGCATGTACTGCTTCCCTTTCCCGCAAGTCTGCTGTCTGATTGTGAGGTCAGGCTGATCTGGGATCAGCTCTTTCACTGCAGTTTCTCCGCAAAAGTTCTCCTGTCAAACGGGTCTTGGAGGAGCAGTGCACGCGCTGGCCTGTGGAGACTAGTCCAGACGAGAACGCGCAATTTGTGGCGATACAGATTCTGCCCCAAGCTGATTGTATTTGAGGACGCTGATTGGCTAAATTGTATGTCACACATTTATATCTTTAATCAGCAATTGGCTAAACTGCTTCATAGACCCGCCTCCTGTGGGCCATTTCTCCAGCGCCCCAGAGCAGCTGAGACATGCAGAGAGGACGAGCAGGGAGCATATATTTTGCACAGATATCATATTTTACACATATTACTGGGTACATTCCATATTTCAAAAACACAAATATTGACAATTTGTATAATTTATCATTATTATTATTATTTTTATTTTTTTGGCTCAAGGGGGGGGCGGCGCCCTCTATTGACCAGCCGCCACTGGCCTTCACATGGCTCGGAACACGGACATTTCTGAGCCAGCGGCTAGAAGCTAACAGCATTAATAACGGCAACAGTGCTGACAGAGATAACAGCTTTTATCTGGGGGACAACCAGAGGTTATCCCAGTGGGCAGGAATCCCATTCATAGCACTCGATCTGGTTTTAGTAAGTCTTGGAAAACTTATGGTGTCATTTAGAGATTGTTATCCATTTTAATCTACTTGAGTCTAGTTCCACTGAGATCACCGGCAGAAGACATTGGCAGAGTTTAGAAGACTTCTGCACTACAAATATCCTATGTCTTCAGCAAGGCAATGTTCTATAACAGCGGTTCCCAAACTTTTTAGGCCACGCACCCCCTTCTACATCCTGACCAGGTTCACGCACCCCCAATCCCCCACACCTTAAAAAAAGCAACAGAGCATATTTATAGCCGCATAAAAATCGGACCAATGAGAGAACAGTTTGCTCGCGCGTGGCGTTTGTTTACAAGATAAAAAAACACAAAAAACACAAAAAAACTTCCTGCACCGTGCCTTCGAAAAGGTAACGGACGTACACCAGAAGATTGGCCACATGTGTAGACTCGTCTACTTGCAGAGAGTAGAACTCACTCTTCTTCACGCGACCGATTAATGTAGCCAGGATGTCGCACAGGATGCTGTGCGACAGTGTTGTTGGACACCGGGATCATGTCCAACTTGTTTGCTTCTCTCTCTCCATCATACATTCCACCATCTCTTTAGCAGCTGGCAAGCACACGTCTTCGGCGATTGTGTGAGGTAGCCCCTTTCTTGCTATTCTGTGACCAGAAGCCCGTAGTGCGTTTTTTGTAGACTCAAGACATGAATGAGACTGCAGTTGTTTTGGGCTGTTTTGTAACTCCTCCAATTTCGATATAAAAATGTAAGGGGCTTTTGACTTGCACTGGCATGCTTGGTGTTCAGGTGGCGACGTAAATAAGAGGGCTTCAGACAGCTGTTAGCCAGAACCTTACTGCACCGACTGCACTGCAGACTGCAAACCCTGTCTCCTAAAAATTACGTTCTCCCAAAACTAAAATGCATTCTCAATTACGTTTTGACCAAAAACATAATTGGGACTTGGTTTTATGGTTCCGAGTGGCTGGCACTCACCCATTGGCGCCGGACGCGAGGTCTCCAGCCGCCCCCGCCGTGAGGCACCCCATCGTCAGGTCTGTCAGCCCTCGGAACAGGCCGTGGGGCAACAACTCGTGGGTGGCGGGGGTAGAGGCGAGGCAGATCACAGAAAAATAATAAAGACTAGAGTATGGCAAAGATATGTTGATTAGAAACGTATTTGTAATACGTCAAACACAAACGTAATCAGGGAGAAAATAGATTTATGGTCAAACGTAATTGAGAATGCATTTTAGTTTTGGGGGAACGTCATTTTTAGGAGACAGGACTGCACCATTAGACCACCATTACATCTTTCCTCTCGCGCACCCTCTAGAGGCAGCTCGCGCACCCCCAGGGGTTCTCTAAACTGACGCTCCTATCACTAGGGCTTTACCTCCGCCGAGGAGGTTTTGTTTTCGATTCAGTTAGTTTGCTTATCAGCAGGATAAGTACAGTCTGCTCACCCAATTGTTATGAAACTTGGTGCAGCTTTGGCCAAGGAAGAATGAATCAAATTTTGGAACGGATCATAATAACGGGACGGTTACACAAATGTTTCACTTTTGTTAAAATTGCAAGATAGGAGATTGGAGGTCTGCGCTCTCCAAGTGCTCTTCTAGTTTATTATTGCCTTCCAAGGCACATATTATTGTTCCAACAAATATTCATAAAATCATTTTCTGAATTTAGAACATCAACATAGCAGCAAACTGGTCGTTTTTTTTAGTGTGAACAAATGTTCCAGAGCATCACATTAGAGTCACACCATCAAAGTAGCAACCTTGTTAAACCTTGTTTAGTTCAGAGCTAATGAGAACACATTAAGAAATAGAGATCACAGTTGGGCCTGTCACAATACTTACATCATCAACTCATAGTCGATACGATCGAAACGATCAAGGTCATGTCCTTATGCCTTTTATATGTTAGTGACTTATTGTACGATATGTGGACATGACCTCAATCATGTTTGTTAGTGACTTATT